GCTTGTGCTTTAAGCTAAGGGTGTAAACTTCCAGTTTTAGTGGTCATGTTGATGACAAGGCATTTTTGTGCAAGTTTGCCAACTTCTATTTACATCATAAGACCTCAAATTTGGGAAAAGACCAAAAAAAAAAATCTATATATATGTATATATATATATAGAGAGAGAGATATTTTCTTTTATTTTTTTAAATAATTTCCAATCTACATTCACTTATCAATGCTCAATGAAAATGTCAGACTTTGATTCTGCTTTTAGTATCTGTGTCATTTTTTCAAATAATCATATTTTATTAGTCTGTGATATATCTAATTTCTTCCATCCCCTGTTAAAAAATTTTTTTCTATGTTACAAGCCATTTATGTTAACGAAAAGAGATTTTACACATAAATCTACTTGAATATTAAAACACTGATCAAAAAAAAAAAACATTTTACATGCTGAGGCAGTAACATAAAAAAATATTTTCTTTGCTTTTTTGTCACAGTTAAGGAATTAACTGATCCACTTTTTTTTTTTTACTTCCAATACCAATATCTGTGGTTTAGTATCGGTCTGTATCAATCCGATACAGAAAAACAGTGCTGAATTGACTTAAAAAGTTTCCTTTTTTTAAAACAAGACATAAATGTACTGAATTAATGTTGTTATGCACCAGTACAGCACACTTGAATACACCTATAGCTTTATAGGTTTGGTCAAACACGTAAAAACAACACACCTTTGAAGTCTATTAGAGGGGAAGTCTAACTAAGCAATAAGTGGTGAGGGTCTGACAATGAGTTTGGTAGACTAGAATAAAACTGTCAGGTCTGAAGCTTGTGTATTTATTTCAGAAAATATATTTTCTGAAAAGCACAGCTTTAATAGGTTGATTTTTAGAATGAGTTATTGGGTATATCTTTGACACCATCAGGGCTTTGCTTCATCTCAGGTCTTGCTGGCAGCAGGAAGTTTCATCACACAGACATATTTAAAACCGCTGCAACAAGAGGGAGATTTTAATCTGGCTTCAGAAGTCTGTATTTTACAAAGCAATCTTTTTTCTGGCTTCTGCATGTTTCTGAAACAAGAACAAATTTCAAATGAAATAAAATAAATATGGATTTGTGTATAAAATCTTTCTAAAATGAGATTGTTACCAATTTAAACAATATTTTTTCTCTTTGGGAACCTTGCATTTAAGTTTGAAAATAATCCTGACCCTGTTAGACTTTGGATGTCATTTAGACTTTTTACAGATCAGGGGTTTCATTTCTGCTATTATTCTTCTAAAATTGCACATTTCAAACTTTTTCAGCACTTTCATGAGCTGACACATAAAAACAAAAAAAAAAACATACTTTATGTAACTTCTTTTATTTCCATCTATTTCATGACTAAGCAGAATTGCCATAAAGACGGCAGAGCGCTTCGTATATACTCTGTGGCGACTCGGTAAAGCAGCACATTTTCAGGAGGGTTACCGAATGAGGAAGTTGCTTCTGATTCAGTTTCACACACACAATCAGTCTGGTATTCTGAGGAAACCTAACTGACCTCTATTTGTTGCCCTCTGCGTTGCAGCAAGGACCCAGTATTGCCGAGATGATGGTATCTCTGGGCCCCGCAGAGATCAGACATCGATTCCAGAAGCTTCTGCTGCCTCCAGATTCCTGTTAAAGATGCTTCACAGATAACCTCTCACTCTGTTAACTGTTCTGTATGTTGAGAAATACAAAACTTACATCAAACTTGATTACTCTGTCAAACATGAAAGAGACTCAGCCGACTAAACATTATAAATATTTGATGATTTTGTTAGGTGTCTTATAAGATTTCTATGTTTTGTTTGTAGAAAAAGTGCCTGACTCTATGCACACCTGGATGGGAAGTACCTTGCTGTTTTTTTATGTAAATGTTTTACTTCAGAAAAATAACGTGTGCATGCTCCACTGATTCGAGATGGATGGAATAAGTTGTTTTAATTTGACAATATTAACAAGAATAATGACAAACTGTTTTATTGTGACTGTTTTCTGGCTTTCGAAGGCCATATAATGCAGTAATCTCTTGTCTTTTTTTAGATGTTGCATCATATTTATTACCCCAGAGGAACAGGAAGTTGTGAATTACAGATAAATAAAAAGTTCACTGAAACTGTGAAGAACTTTGAAAAAAAGGTAAAATAATAAAGAAAATGCTTCAGTTGGAGTCTTTCTATGGGAATTCTCTCAGGCGTCCATTTGTGTCTCATTTTCCACTCTGACTCAGTGTGCTCCAAACAAGTTTGCTATATATATGTTTTTTATTTAGTTATTTTTTTAAGTTTCTGATTAGGTCACAACAGCAACAACAATAACAACAAAAACTAGCATCAATAGTTGCATTTCAAACTCTTATCTCAAAATATACAAGACTAATATTCCAGATGCATGCCAAGTATTTACATCTGCTGTGAAAGTTTAAAAAAAACATACTATTTCCTCACTTTTTGGCTTTAAATCAGATTTATGCCATTCAAGAGTATCACAAACAATCCTTCCTGTTCTAAAGGCCAACATAATGAGATAATTTTGTTGCTGTCCACAAATTCAGAAAACTACATGAATTAGGATCACTAAGCCTTTTCTTACAAATGATGGCATGCTTTGAAAGCTTCAGATATGTTGATTTATTATTTTAAAGCAACTCCAACCTCATTTTGGAGACATGTTATAAGATTTAATGTTTTAACATTAAAATTTTATTACACAATTTTCTCTCTGACCTGCCTGTGGTCTTTCTTGGTCTTCATCCTGTTTGTTGACTAATATTCTGTTAATAGTTCTTCACATAGCAGCTTTATTTATGCTGATAGTATATTGCACACTGGAAGATTCTGTTTAGTTTTATGACTTTTAAAAATAATATAATTAAGTTTGGATGTTATTTATTGCTGTCATTAGGACTGAACACAAATGTCACACTTTCAGATTTGCATACCACAGAAAATGTATAATACTATTTTTGTTGCTATTACTACTGTATGATAATATATCTATTAAACTGTCAAAAAGATTGGTCTATGTCATTTTTTTTTTTTTTTTTTTTTTCCAAAAAATCTTTTTGCAAAAAAAAAAAAAATAAATAAA